ATATCTCGGTAACAATAGTTAGTTTTAGAGCGTTCAAGTTAATTTTATCATTCATTTTAAAATTCTTTGTATCCCTGACTTGTCTTCTCCCTTAGTCCTTCGTAACTTTGAAGATATATCACATAGACGCTGTTTCTTCGTTATGTTTGGTAATTGCGATTCCTCCTAGAGGTTCTTTCTTTTATCATTTGCGGAGGGGGAGGGTCAGTTGAATTTTTCAAACCCTGCCCCCACCCCTTCTTTCCTTGAGTTTAAAGGTATTGACTCGATTTTCTCAGCTAGTTTTTTTATGAACAAACTTGGCCAAAATGGTTTTTGAAAAATTTGATACCAGATTTATTCGTGTTTCTTTTCTTCGTTCCCAGACAAACCAATATCTTTAATCAGTCATTTGCATTTATTAGCACAGTCCAAAGATGCTAGATGGCTTGAACAGGGAAAACACCAAACACCTTATGTCACATCCGTGTTAAAGCCCTGTCGGAAGATTGCGGAGTAAAATGGTGTTAATTACAGAGAAAAGGCGACAGCAGGCTGTTGCCACCTTTGCTTACATCGTCTTTGTGGTGTTTTTAACTTAACACAACTTTAAAAGTCTAAGTCTGCAATTTTATAACAGTTCCTTTTCTCAGTTTCGCTGAAAAAGAAAAGAGAGAAAAACAGGATTCAAAAAAGAAATTTACACACACAAGAAAACAAACCACTTCATTTTATCACCACTAACTATAACCTTAAAGTTCACAACCTTTTAAGTACTTAAAGGTCTGTGCAATTTCGCAGTTCACTAAATGTACCCGCCCTCTCAAAGTTAACTTAAAGGTTGTAATCAAGGGGAGTCTGTCATTAATCCATTGATTAATTTGAAAAAGGAAAAACATCTATTTTGAGCCTTTATGACTGGAATAAAAAATGCTGTATTTTGGATGGAAAAAACAGAGTTGCAGAAAATTCCTGACATGAAAGTTGTTTTTCAGAAAAAAAAAGACATAGATACCGCAATTGACTATTAATGAACCCAGATCACTCTCGGGTCACTTGACCGTTAGAGAGCTACGTACAACATTCAGAAATTTAGAAGGACTACACTCTCCTCCAGCCCTAATATTCATCCCAGCAATAAATCACCGATTTTCCATGCAGTCTGGTTCTTTTAAACCATAAGTCTTTTAAATCAGTTGTCATACTTACAAAAATGTTTTCTTCTATTTCGTCTCTGTTAAAGGCAATTGCATCGTTGAGTGGTGCTTAGATTTATCACCGGTATGGCACTTTACCTTTCTTGTTAAACGTCAAAAAAGAGGAAGGAAACTTGGGGGACTAGAGGTGGGAGGGAATCGAGAGAGGACTGGGGTGGATATTGAATCGAGACACATCAAGACACATAAATAAAGGATTTCTATAAAGAAAGAGGTTGTCGGAAAAACAGAGCAAATAGAGAACCTTAAGGGGAATTTACATCCAAAAGTCCCGGAATGGAGTAAAAACTTTCAAAATAGAGTGCACATGGTCAATATCATTTCAACAAGATTGGGAGAACTTAAAAGTGTTCAAATATAGTGTCCTTATCATGAGATACAATGAATATATGAAGTTCATATATTTTCGTGCATCATACGTAAGTGTCCTTATCATATTTCCGTTTCCTAACTGAAGGTGGCGCTAAATTTAAAACACGGAGGCGCATCCGCCTCTTCTTAGCTTCCTTAGGTGTATGAACATTCACATATCGATTTATAAATATGTTAACTTCCAGTGGGTCAGGCTAGATTGAATATTTCACTCGGAGATAACTAAATGTTAAACGAGGTGTCGTAAGAAATATTATTGTCTATAAATCACGAGTGTTTGCACTCAAATGACAAAGTATCTTGGCAGCGTTACCTATAGTCCACCATACTGGCATCCACGCAAGAAAGTGCGAGCTATTTTTTTTTCTTTTAGTTTAAATATCGGACGATCAACCCTTAAGAGCTTGATATTGCCGTGCATCTCTCTTTTATTCTTGGTTTTAGTAGAGGGAGGGAGTTGGCCATCTGGAGGTATCCTTCTCCTGTGCAACTTTTTTTTTTTTTGGCTGAAACTGTTTCTTTTGTACATTTTCAGGCGTGAATGTAATTCCTAAAGTGGAATATGCCTGCATCACTCAAAGTCGTTAGCTATATTGAGAAATAAATCGTCATTAACCTGAAACTGCTGGCAAATCTAAATCTTGATAATTTCTTTTACAATGAAACAGGTTGTGATTATCTCTTAATTCCCTCAATGCGCTGCTTTCCTGTTAGGAGATACAAGTGACTTTGGCAGGAGAGAGGGATATGGCGGATATTAGAAATGTTTTTACATCCAGTGTGGTAGGTTATTTCGGTCAGCCAGCGCCCCTTTCATTGTCTGTACTATTATTATAAATTTTTCTTTCTTGTATATTTTGGGGTGAAAAAAATAAAGTTGTTGTTGTTGTTGTTGTCGGAATAATTATATTTACACCAACACAACACACTCACTTAATGAGGGCACGTATTATGCCAAGACGTAAGTAAGTTTTAGCGTGAGTTTCAAATTTATTTGATTTCAAGTTTTAGTTACCTTTTGGTAAAACGCATCAGCCTAAAGTTTGGGTTTACCGTCCACCGTTTATACTTCGTCCATAAAACCTTGCCATAAGTAATTCTCATTTCTCGTTTAGACAATCAAGAAGCGGAATGAAGCCTGTAGGAGATATCCCAAATAACCTCCGGCTGATTCCCAGAGGCAATCTATTGTTTTCGTTATTATTCTCTTTAGTTTAGAACTAGATGCGTAATAAAGTATGAGGCTGGGCGGAAACCTTGCCCTCTTGGTCGCCCGCTTATGTTTTGTTCAAAGGCGTAAGGCGGTTTTGGTTTTGTTATTTTGAAACGCATGCGCAATGTATAGTTTAACCCTTCAACTCAAAGTCCCACCAGTTATTATCCTCTAATGACCACAGCATATTTTCATTAAAGTAGACCGAAAATTGGGTGTTAAAGCACGTGAACATCGCCTGGCCGACAATTTCTCATCACCTGCTTGCAGCTAAATGTGCTGGAATCGTGAGAAGTTACAAGTTAGTCATTCGTGAGAGTAAAGGGGTTTCTCTGCTAGCGGAGGCCCTTTTTCCTTGTACCCTAAAAGGAAAGGAGGCCTCTTCTACCGGGGAATAAGACGATTCAACAAGAATTAAGACGGCGGTAGCACAGTGAATTGCATTGTTCCATGTTCCTTGACATTTAAATTGACAACAAATTGGCAAAGTAATAAATCAGTACTTCAAAGTGAAAAAAATACTGCAATTTTTTATCGAACTTTCTGACATGTGACGTTACGTTTGAAAATAGATAGAGAGAGGCTGATGGCGACAGACGCTCCGTCGATGAATACTGATACGACTTTCATTTTGTCTTAGAAAAAAAAGACGCAATGACTTTAGTCCAGTTTTTTTCCTACTCATTTAGTTTTTCTTTTCTTCCTTTTTTTATTCAGGTCTTCTAATTCGCATGGAAACTGGCTTTCTACTTTTGAATAAGGAAGAAGGTAAGGTGAAAAAGACGCAATATTTTTAGTCCCAAGTTATGTCCAGTTTTTTTCTCCTATTCATGTGGCTTTTTTGTTCCTTTTCTTTTTTATCTAGGTCTTCTAATTCGCGAGGAAACTGGCTTTCTATTTTTGAATAAGGTTCATATCTTATAACATAGTCAAGGTAATTTATTCCCTCAAGAAATCTAACGGTTAAGGCTCTGGTGTACAACTTAGGGCCTCTTCATAGGAGCCCGGTTGACCGGCCGGGCTGGCCCGCGCCGCTTACCGGGATGAAGGCTTCCGAGATGAGAAAAGGCCGAGGATCCTGGGGATGAGTTTTGGCGCGAAATTAGTGAAAACAAAACAAAGATGGCGAAACGGTAGCGAGATATTATTTTTGCGCCTATCATGGCTTTGGCAACCCTTTTAGCTGTACCACTGCTGTTAAACGGGTTGCTAATGATGTGGGAAACTCTTCACGCAAAGGAAAACGATGCCATCCGGATCGCCTTCTTGCGGAAGCGAAATTATTCGTTACTAAGGTTGAAACGAATATGCGACGAATTCATCCAGGTAACCGGGATGAAGTGTTTGTATGGCAACAATTTCCAGCCCGCTTATCGGTACCGAGATCCCGGTTGGAAAAACCGAGATCTCGGTAACCGAGCCAGGTCGCCCTCTCATATGAACACATCGAAAACTTTACAAAGGATTTAGAGGTAAGGCGAGATGTCGGAAACCGGGCCAGCCCGGTCAACCGGGCTCATATGAAGAGGCCCTTATTCATTCTTCTCTCACTGTTTTTTTGCGTCGAAACTGGTTGTTTAGCTTTCCTTACCCGTCAAAGAATCTATTTTGCATTATTTTTGTTGCACTCTTGATCACAACAGGAATAAATAAGAGCGATGGTAATTTTTTAACGTTGTAATAAACAATGACGAAAGGCCATCAGTTTGTAAAATATTTGTTATTAATAGAGACCCGAAATTCTCGATACATTAAATTACAGGCACAGATTGAATTTGATACAAATCTTGATAAAAACAGAATTTGCATCTCAAATGATCATTAAGTATCAAAGTTACAGCAACAAATTGTACTAAAAACTATACAGCTATTATTTTACATAAAAATGTCCTATCATTGATAAATATGACTTTTTTCGTAAAGGGTAGGCGAAATTAATGCGGGCCTCGTGAACATGAATATTAATATAATATCATGGCCATCAGGAACGAAATTTATATCTCTACTTTTCGAAATAATAATAATAATAATAATAATTTAATATTTATATTGCGCAAATTAACATGCGGATATGATCAAATGCGCATCACAACTCTTTTCGGGGGACTTTGGTCGGACTGCATCAGCAGTTTACAAACAATCGAAGAAAACTTATTTGAAGATGCCCCCTCCCCCAAATTCCCAGTAAACAGGCCAGACCACATCACAGCAATCTCGTGAGTGGGTTCTTTAAAAAAGAATTAAGGATAATCAAGGAAATAATTAAATAAAAATTTCTTCGAATATCAAAATATGTAGCAACAGAAAAATAACAACGCCGCCAACAATGCAGACATTCTCTTTTGGCTGTTATCAGAGTAAAGTAGCTGTTGCCTTTTAAAGCGCTTTCAAGCGTCAGGCAACTAGCGACGAAGTTCTCCCACCTCCGGCTTAAAATGATTATCTGTTATGTAAAATACCCTGGTTAAACTTCTGAATTAATGCTTCATATTTCCAAGCCCTACCAAATGTCCCAGCTACGATTTTCACTTAACACAAGTGGTATCAAAAGGTAAGTTCATCTGAGGCATGAAATTGTTAAACGAAATTCGATTTACGTTTATATTTACGAAACTTTATATAAAAATTTACACAAGTGTTATTTTACATCAATGTGTTCTATGATAAAAAAATGTAATAAATAAATAAAAAAACCCACCAATTTCCTTGTGAAATATATAAAAAATCACATTCATATATATTATATTTTAACATTGCACAGACATTCACTTCTAGCTACTTGTAGATTGGGTTCATCTTCAAAAATCTCCAACACTGACAGCTTCTCCTGTATCCTACAAACCCACATGAAGAAATCAAAGATTGACACCACCACGGAAACCGCGACCTACAAGACAGACCAATGAGTATTTTAAGAGGACAAATAAATATTCCTGATAAAATTTTACAATGACGCGCTGAACGGAGAGGCTGTTCGTCTCGGTAAATATCGTCTGCATACCACAGGCAGCCCAGTACTAATATGCAACATACGATTCATTCGGATCAATCATATGTCTTGAGGTTATGGCTGTGCACTGACAAGGGCTGTCCACAAGAAACTGACTTTTGTCTGTAGGTGAGATACAAGTCTTGATGCACCAGTTGATTTAAGTACACCAGCTTACTATAGCTAAAGTATTACACTCGGTCAACATGCCACAGCGAGTCCAGGCTTAAAAAGTGAACTTTAACGACAGAAGCTAATTAAAAATGAAATTGTTACACGACTTGAACAGATTTTACTTTGGTTTCGTTGGCAAAATAGTAAAATATCACGCAGTCTGTTAAGAGCCTCCATTGGTAGCAAAAGAAACGCTAAGTTTAAAACTACAACTTTCAAGTTGATTTAGCAAACAAACTAGCGATTAACATTTTAACATTAAAGAATTCAGCAAACATAAAATAAACTCTATAACATACCGAACCAACCTGAGTTTATCGCGCGATTCAGCAGGAACTGCATGAAACCTTGACAACACAATGAGGCATGATGTAGAGAATTCAGCCCATTGATATCATTAGCCAAAGGATTCGCTCCTCTCTCAATAAGGTACTTTACACCCTTCAGCTTGCAACGACGAGCCGCACAAATTAAAGGTGTTTCACCGTAAACGGTTTCTGACTCAATATCTGGCACGTAACTTAAGATAAGATCTATGGTTTCAGGGTCACCCCCCTGCGCGGCAAAATGTAATGAGTTCCATCCGTCGTTGTCCATCTGGGACGGATCTGCTCCTCTCATAATCAGACTCTTCACTGCTTGAACGTTCCCTTTCAGAGCCTGATTCATTAGTGGCGTTCTGCCTGTTGCGTTTCTGGAGTCAACAGAAAATCCAAGAGGAAGCGTGGATCTCATCTTAGTAACATCTCGGACTCTTTCAGAAGAATGTAACTGATTCAATTCCTTGTTGTTATCACTCACAGAAGTGGCACCTAGAATTGTAAATATTAAGACTAAGTAAACGCTTCAGTTGTTGAACTGTTAATAATGTGGGCCGTGTTAAACACATTCATGTCTAAGACCACAGCTCGTAACGACTTGTTTATTAACAAGTCGTACGACCCGCAGAGAACGCCTAATGTATTTGCAAGTTGTAAAGCAGTGCTGTCGACACGTGGAGCTCATTAAAGCTTTGGCCATGACAGTTCTATGATCCGTAGGATCACTATGGATCGTCTATTGCATTCACGTGCCGTACGGCCCGTGCATGTTGTCTAATGTAATCACGAGTCGTATGGTTTTCCAGTCGATCCATGAATCCCAGAAGAGAGACTTAGAGTCCCTCCGGCCATGACTTAGCGTGTCGACTCGTAAGATACGAACGCTCAGCGCACAAACAACAAGAATATAATTCGTGCTACTAAAAAAGTACCGCACAAAGTGCACGACACACCATCATCCCACCAGACAAAACCAAACTATCCCTACTGAGATTCACAAGTGGAAGCACAACCCGAGAATACATTAAACGATGCGTACTGATCGCACGACTCGTGAATATACTAGATAATCCATACAGATCGTGCGAATCGACAAAATCCACCATGGCCACCATCCACTCAAGTGACAAACTAACTTACAGTCCCCCTAATGACATTCACAGTTGACAGCACGACCTTCTATAACATCAAGAAATGGTTAGATATTCTAGTCTTCTCGGATAGGGACGAATAAATGGAGGTCCAGTCTCCTGCAGGGTTGGGGTTGGATACGTTAATTTCCCACACACGAGATTACTGTGCGATGGATGTCCTCCCCTGGGG